GTTGTCTCTCTTGGTGGTGTGGTTGTCTCTCTTGTTGGTGTGGTTGTTTCTCTTGGTGGTGTGGTTGTCTCTCTTGGTGGTGTGGTTGTCTCTCTTGGTGGTGTGGTTGTCTCTCTTGGTGGTGTGGTTGTTTCTCTTGGTGGTGTGGTTGTCTCTCTCTTGGTGGTGTGGTTGTCTCTTGGTGGTGTGGTTGTCTCTTGGTGGTGTGGTTGTCTCTCTCTTGGTGGTGTGGTTGTCTCTTGGTGGTGTGGTTGTCTCTTGGTGGTGTGGTTGTCTCTTGGTGGTGTGGTTGTCTCTTGGTAGTGTGGTTGTCTCTCTTGGTGGTGTGGTTGTCTCTCTTGGTGGTGTGGTTGTCTCTCTTGTTGGTGTGGTTCTCTCTTGTTGGTGTGGTTGTTTCTCTTGGTGGTGTGGTTGTCTCTCTTGGTGGTGTGGTTCTCTCTTGGTGGTGTGGTTGTCTCTTGGTGGTGTGGTTGTCTCTCTTGGTGGTGTGGTTGTCTCTCTTGGTGGTGTGGTTGTCTCTCTTGGTGGTGTGGTTGTCTCTTGGTGGTGTGGTTGTCTCTTGGTGGTGTGGTTGTCTCTTGGTGGTGTGGTTGTCTCTTGGTGGTGTGGTTGTCTCTCTTGGTGGTGTGGTTCTCTTGGTGGTGTGGTTGTCTCTCTTGGTGGTGTGGTTGTCTCTTGGTGGTGTGGTTGTCTCTCTTGGTGGTGTGGTTCTCTCTTGTTGGTGTGGTTGTCTCTCTTGTTGGTGTGGTTCTCTCTCTTGGTGGTGTGTTTGTCTCTCTTGGTGGTGTGGTTGTCTCTCTTGTTGGTGTGGTTGTTTCTCTTGTTGGTGTGGTTGTCTCTCTTGGTGGTGTGGTTGTCTCTTGGTGGTGTGGTTGTCTCTCTTGGTGGTGTGGTTGTCTCTCTTGGTGGTGTGGTTGTCTCTCTTGGTGGTGTGGTTGTCTCTCTTGGTGGTGTGGTTGTCTCTCTTGTTGGTGTGGTTGTTTCTCTTGGTGGTGTGGTTGTCTCTCTTGGTGGTGTGGTTGTTTCTCTTGGTGGTGTGGTTGTCTCTCTTGGTGGTGAGGTTGTCTCTCTTGGTGGTGTGGTTGTCTCTCTTGGTGGTGTGGTTGTCTCTCTTGTTGGTGTGGTTGTTTCTCTTGGTGGTGTGGTTGTCTCTCTTGGTGGTGTGGTTGTCTCTCTTGGTGGTGTGGTTGTCTCTCTTGGTGGTGTGGTTGTTTCTCTTGGTGGTGTGGTTGTCTCTCTTGGTGGTGTGGTTGTCTCTCTTGGTGGTGTGGTTCTCTCTTGGTGGTTTGGTTGTCTCTCTTGGTGGTGTGGTTGTTTCTCTTGGTGGTGTGGTTGTCTCTTGGTGGTGTGGTTGTCTCTTGGTGGTGTGGTTGTCTCTCTTGGTGGTGTGGTTGTCTCTTGGTGGTGTGGTTGTCTCTTGGTGGTGTGGTTGTCTCTTGGTGGTGTGGTTGTCTCTTGGTGGTGTGGTTGTCTCTTGGTGGTGTGGTTGTCTCTCTTGGTGGTGTGGTTGTTTCTCTTGGTGGTGTGGTTGTCTCTTGGTGGTGTGGTTGCCTCTTGGTGGTGTGGTTGTCTCTTGGTGGTGTGGTTGTCTTTTGGTGGTGTGGTTGCCTCTTGGTGGTGTGGTTGCCTCTTGGTGGTGTGGTTGCCTCTTGGTGTGTATATCTGTAGCCTTAGTCTCAAGATATAACAAGTGGTGTAATGTACTATGTTGTACAGTTACATATTGTTCTCTGGTATAGTGGCTTGTGTGGTGGTGAGTTATGGTGGTGATGAGTTATGGAGGTGATGAGTTATGGTGGTGATGAGTTATGGTGGTGATGAGTTATGGTGGTGATGAGTTATGGAGGTGATGAGTTATGGTGGTGATGAGTTATGGTGGTAATGAGTTATGGTGGTGAAGAGTTATGGAGGTGATGAGTTATGGTGATGAGTTATGGTGGTAATGAGTTATGGTGGTGATGAGTTATAGTGGTGATGAGTTATGGTGGTGATGAGTTATAGTGATGAGTTATAGTGGTGATGAGTTATGGTGGTGATGAGTTAGTGGTGATGAGTTATAGTGGTGATGAGTTATGGTGGTGATGAGTTATAGTGGTGATGAATTATGATGGTGATGAGTTATAGTGGTGATGAGTTATAGTGGTGATTAGTTATGGTGGTGATGAGTTATGGTGATGATGAGTTATAGTGATGATGAGTTATGGTGGTGATGAGTTATGGTGGTGATGAGTTATGGTGGTGATGAGTTATAGTAGTGATGAGTTATGGTGGTGATGAGTTATAGTGGTGATGAGTTATAGTGGTGATGAGTTATGGTGGTGATGAGATATGGTGGTGATGAGTTATGATGGTGATGAGTTATGGTGGTGATGAGTTATAGTGGTGATGAGTTATGGTGATGATGAGTTATGGTGGTGATGGTGTTATGGTGGTGATGAGTTATGGTGGTGATGAGTTATGGTGGTGATGAGTTGTAGTAGTGATGAGTTATGGTGGTGATGAGTTATAGTGGTGATGAGTTATGGTGGTGATGAGTTATAGTGGTGATGAGTTATGGTGATGATGAGCTATGGTGGTGATGAGTTATGGTGGTGATGAGTTATGGTGGTGATGAGTTATGGTGGTAATGAGTTATGGTGGTGATGAGTTATGGTGGTGATGAGTTATGGTGGTGATGAGTTATAGTGATGAGTTATAGTGGTGATGAGTTATGGTGGTGATGAGTTATAGTGGTGATGAGTTATAGTGGTGATGAGTTATGGTGGTGAGTTATGGTGGTGATGAGTTATGGTGGTGATGAGTTATAGTGGTGATGAGTTATGGTGGTGATGAGTTATAGTGGTGATGAGTTATAGTGGTGATGAGTTATGGTGTGTGGCGACGATCAGACCCACAATAACAATGAGTAATATGATAGATGTCAAATGCTTTTCAGCCCTGACACTGCTGGTTCAAACCCCCGTGAAGCAGTGGGTCGGAAACTCGCCTCGATTGCACCGTCGTCAATTTTCCCATCACGTGATGTCCTGTAATGACGTCAGATATATTCATCCCATCACACAATGCAAGCACGACGTCTTTTAAACGTTGTTGCTTATTGTATCATTGCATCAATGTAACAAGAGTAAGGAGCAACGCTGTGGTTACTGTGTTAGCTGAGGTGGTGTCTGGATGGGTGACCCTGCTCCTTGTGTGAGTCAGGATGTTGAAGGAGCAGCGCCTCCTGGCCTCTGATCTTTGAGTTATATATTATGAATATATCAATTATATTTTGTAGTATAGGGTGATGACACGAGGTCTTTGGCCTCAAGCACAGCTGGTCTCTCCAGCTCCCTCTCTTGAAGGTATACCTATAAAGCTTGTTGATTCCTTATCTAAAGCTGTGACAAATTGTCACAGCTTTAGATTAGGAGTCAGTATAGCCTTCATGTACCATCAAGACGTCCTCCTTAATATGTCTGAGGCAAAACTCACGACACAAAACACACAAAATCCTTATATAGTGTCATTTAACATGACACATACAAGATTAGATGAGAGACTAGCGGATATATTAGTGACAGCAGAGGAGGTACTGCAACAACACTGAATGAAACTACAGCAGTTGGACCAGACAATGTATTACCGTGGATACTAAAAGAGGCAGTGCAGGCCCTCTGCATGCCTCTAGCAAGGATCTATAATGGTCACTTACGATGGTAGAGTTGCCCAGTTGCTGGAAGGAAGAAATGTGATACCAATTTTCGAGAAAGAAGATAGGGAAGAGGCACTTAACTACGAACCAGTAGCACTGACAATCACCTGTAAATTACTTGAAAGAATAATCAGGTCAAGACTGGTCACAAACTAAGAGAACATTAGGTATGTAAACAAACACCAACATGGGTTCAGACAAGGGAAATCATGCCTAACAAACCTTCTGGAAATCTATGATAAAGTAACAAGAATAAGGCAGGACAGAGAAGGATGGGCAGACTGCATATTTCTGGACTGCCAAAAAGCGTTTGACACAGTACCGCACTGGAGACTGCTATTCAAACCTGAGAGGCAGGCGGGACTAAACGGAAAGGCCCTAGCATGAGTAAGGAACTACCTAACAGGCAGGAGCCAGAGAGTAACAGTCACGAGGCGAGAAGTCAGACTGACGAACAGTAACGAGTGGAATACCTCAAGGCTCGGTGCTGGGACTGTTGCTAATATACGTGAATGACTTGTCTACAGGAGTCGAGTCCTATATGGTGATGTTCGCGGAGGACGCGAAATTAATGAGACGAGTTGTGACAGAGGAGGATTGTAGGATCCTCCAAGAGGATCAATGACGTCAATAACAACAGCAACGTCATCGTCAACAACATCAACGGCAACAACAACAACAAAGGCAACATCGTCAACAACAACAATAACTTTATCAACGTCAACAACAACAACGTCAACAACAGCATCAACAACAAGGACGTTAACAACAACAGCAAAACGTCAACAACAACAATAGCAACTTTATCAACATCACCAACATCAACAATAACAACAACATCAATGTCAACAGCCTCAACACAACAATAACATCATCAACTAAGTACTGGTAATAATGTCTTCTCACACACACAATATCACGGGATAAAAACCCACATATATGTATTTGTGAAATTTATGTAAATAAATTACACCAAGTCTTTCGCACTCTCCTGAGTGCTTCGTCAAGGTCTGAGTGTGTGGTTAGGACGAGACTTGCATCTTAACCACTAAGGCGGCTGTTACCCAGGATCCAATCCTCTTATCCAAAAGGAGGGATTGGATCTTGACCTCTTTAGGAGGTCAAGAAGGATAAGAGTATTGGATCCTGAGTATTGCAGCTGCATTAGTCTTTGAGATGTACGTCTCGTCTTAAGCACACACTCAGATCTTGACACAGCACTCAGGAGAGTGCGTAATACATCAATACACTAGGTGGGGGTAGAACCCAAAAGGTTGCACCTCCAGAATGCTGGGCCACCTCCAGAATGCTGGGCCACCTCCAGAATGCTGGGCCACCTCCAGAATGCTGGGCCACCTCCAGAATGCTGGGCCACCTCCAGAATGCTGGGCCACCTCCAGAATGCTGGGCCACCTCCAGAATGCTGGGCCACCTCCAGAATGCTGGGCCACCTCCAGAATGCTGGGCCACCTCCAGAATGCTGGGCCACCTCCAGAATGCTGGGCCACCTCCAGAATGCTGGACCACCTCCAGAATGCTGGACCACCTCCAGAATGCTGGACCACCTCCAGAATGCTGGGCCACCTCCAGAATGCTGGGCCACCTCCACAATGCTGGGCCACCTCCACAATGCTGGGCCACCTCCACAATGCTGGGCCACCTCCACAATGCTGGGCCACCTCCACAATGCTGGGCCACCTCCACAATGCTGGGCCACCTCCACAATGCTGGGCCACCTCCAGAATCCTGGGCCACCTCCACAATGCTGGGCCACCTCCACAATGCTGGGCCACCTCCACAATGCTGGGCCACCTCCACAATGCTGGGCCACCTCCACAATGCTGGGCCACCTCCTGAATGCCAATCTGTCATCAGAAAACCTGATTCGCCACGTTTGCCTTCACTGACTTCATCAGGTCCATGAAGAAGTCATTGAGGCTAACCTTGACCCCTTGTGAGAGAGTGGAATTTCACGGCTGTCATAAGAGTGCAACGTGAGTGCATGCTGCGTAGTAGCCAGCGTGCAGTCTCCAGAGTGCACATGCAACAATGCATGGTTCAATCTCCTTGGGTACAGGTCAGCCTTGTTTGGTGTCTACGGACAGCCCTTCGCCTGAACAGATTGATGGTATTGCAGTGGCCGTTGCATACCCATTCTCCGAGCATCCAGAAGAGATTATTTAAGCCATCAGTTCAACTCGGTATTCTAGAGGTTTAGAGTGAGGAAGGAGTCAGGAGGTAGTGGAGGTGGCCTAGCCAGGAAAGGCTCAAGTCACAAGGTCAGCTGGCGTCAACTCAGGTCTTACCCACGTCTCCAGGTCTTTTCCATCCCATCAAGTAGACTTGTCTAATGGCTTGCCATTGCCATCTGTGATCGTTTGCTATTGGTTCAGGCATCATTTAGTCTGTTAACAAAAGACTCACACGCTACTCTGAACAGCGTGGTACTCAAGGCCTCACTCTGAGTCCACTTCATTCGGACGTGTTTCGTAGCTCATTCACTCTAATTAGTTGTGATCGCTCCAGGAACTCTGTTAAGTCTAAGTCTCTGCACTCTGCATTCAAGATACTGCCGCTCGCCATTAGAATCGCGTTACGGGCAATTTCCTTGACTTGAAGTTGTCTTAGTGAGGCGTTGTTGTAGAGTTGTGTTATAAACAGATTGTACCACGTGACAGTCCAGTGATTACGGGCTCACCATAGCCCGTGCTACTTGGAACTTTTAGATTCTAAGTAGCTGAATCTAAACCAACAACAGCAGCGTGACAGCACCAGGAGTAACGGACTGTGTCAGGGTGTGAACGCGTTATATCAGTGTTATCTTCAAATAACGAAGGGGTTGAAGGTCGCCCAGGTGATGGGAGACTATACAAATCATCTCTGTTGGTTATGTGAAAAGACTGGGGTTGATCTGGACAAGTTGCCCGACCGTGTTGAGAGTTGAACCTGCCCTTGAGTGCCGGGTCTAACAGCCCAGAAGTGTACTAACACACAAGCTCTAGGTCGTCTGAGCCGTCCAAACAGCAACGTCCAGCTTCGTGTTGGACGTTGCTGTTTGTGCTCATCTGTCCTCTGTCGCTTCCCGCCACCTGTCTAGCTGTCTCAAGCGTGCGCCGTCTGTACTGTCTCTCACACGCGCGTGCGCCAGCTGTCTTCATTGTAGCAACCACGTACCCGCGCCACATCAACGAGCACCCGCGCACGTGGGTATTACGCGAGGTGTAAGCATTTGCGGTGATAGTGAAGCAGGCCGCCGCCACCCACACATTCCTCGAGTCTACTTCGGCGTGTCAGTGGATTCCTTAAGTCCATGACCCCAGCTGTCAACTACTCTGAATACAACGTGGAATGATCGATGGCCAGCCAGTTCTGCAAGTAACTATCTCTACCAGTTCGTTCGAGTTGCCTCGTGTCGGTCTTATAGTGATCGACCGAGCGATCAGGTATATTGTATGCCCGGAACAGTGCGGGAAGTTGAAAGATTGAGGTGACCTACATCATCTGTCAGTCCATCAAGCCGGACTCTTGGACTCTGGTTCAGGTACACAAGGGTGAGCCTACTCCCACACACAGTTATAGGGCTCAGTGACCTGTGTCTTTTCGTTGTGATTATATGTTTCAGTGAATAGGGTAGTCTTAGTGAGTCATAAGGTGCTACAGCATTGATATCATCCTTGTCTCAGTGACTTGTGAGCTAGTGACTTGAGGAAGCCAGTGACTTGAGGTAGCCAGTGACTTGAGGAAGCCAGTGACTTGAGGTAGCCAGTGACTTGAGGTAGCCAGTGACTTCAAGACAGTGACTTGTAATAACTAGCCATATCAATGGGTAGTTATGGTCTCGGTGACCGGTATTAATTCCATAATCTATTATTTCTTCAGTTACTATTTACTTCAGGAATTGTCATATGTCTCCATGAAGTGGAGACATATGACATATGTCTATATGTCCATAGTGGAGACACTCTGTTAGTGATAATTTGTGTCTTTGTGACTTGTATAAGTAATTATTGTCCTATTAATTCCAGAAAATTATTGTTGTGTGAATATTTAGCGTCATTAATTGTCTTTATGTATTTCAAGGTGTTGATTATTTCACGAGAGTAGAGTTGTGACCCTGATCGACGTCCCTTGTTACTGTGAGTGTTGCGGGAAGTTGATGTTAGAGTGTAACCCGTCCTCAGACCAAGTCCATTCCATCCAGCGGTCGATCCCAAAGATGCATTCATAAATTTTAACATGCTGTTCATTCAAAACAGAAATTATCTCAAATATTAATTTATATTATTTGATATTACCATATTGTACATATTTAGCCCCTGTTTAGGTTGGATGTTTAGGTTCTGTTGGCGATTATTTGTATTTGTAGTACGCGGGTGAAGCATTTACAGCGTTGTGGTTCGAACAAAAGTCGTCAGTGAAGCACTTGTTCCGGAAGTGTTCGGACGTCAACAGTTGTGAGTCGTGTGTAAACCGTTATTCATTCATAAACAGGGGGTTTGGCGGATGGATGGAATAACTTTTGGCCTTTGTTTATGAGGACGGGCTGCAGAGTGTTCATAGGTGTTCATTCAGTTCATTTTCGTACATAAGTGAGAGGGCCGGGACTCAGTGGCACAGCAAAACAGCTCAGTAAGAATTATTCCTGCTGCGTTTATGCTTATGTAAAGCCTTTACAATGACGCTCTTGATTAATGTAGCGAACGTTCCCAGAATATTAGTAAGTTTATTGAGCAAATCTATTTTTGTTAATGAGTGACTTTCCGTCAACCTTCCCATAAGTGCCGCTACCACAACACTTGATTACTACTTTGATAATTGGGCAAAGGCTCCGGGTATCGAGTCCCCAGAGGCTTTAGCACTCAATACAAACTTCGATGTGAGACCTCAAGTGTGTTTAGCTGTAGAGTGTGTTCACACACTTGGAGCACAGCTACGACCCAGTGACTGGAGACACATGTATCATTGTTGGGAGATTGTGGCCTGAGACACATGTATTATTGTTGGGAGATTGTGGCGTGAGACATGTTCTCTCCGTCTGAGATATGTCGAGCTTCGGCAATTACTCTCAGATACTTAATTAGCGTCAACTGATAGCCTGAATAGTGACCACCATTGGAATTGGTGCTGTTACAGTTGTTGCAACACTTAATTGACCTCATACCCCCTCTAGAACCGTCCCTCTGTCACCCCTGGAATGCTTGGTGAGACTAGCCCCAAACATCTGGCCTCCAGCCTCGGACACAGACAGACTAACAGACATCCTGTTTTACAGATTAATATGTGCATGAATCCTCTATCTAGGCAATGTATCCAGAGTGAGTTCTTCCCACATTTCTGAATACTTTATTTTCGTATTTACGTACCTTTATGCAGTAATAATTTACTGCATAAATTCTACTTTATTTAATTTATAATAATTCAATAATTTACGTACCTTTATACGTACCTTTATTTACGTGCCTTTATGCAGCTACCCCTAGACTACGTGAAGGGTTGCATAGTTTGTCAAGAGTAATGCAAAATGTAATGCAATCATTAACTAATGCGAAAAAAAGAGAAAAAAACCCACCACAGAGGAAGGTTAGCCATACAGGGCCGTGTTGTCAGAAGAGTCTACGCTCACAAGCTGTGGCAGCATTATCCTCGAACACCAGAGTTAATAAAGTGATTGGAAAGCTCCTGTAGCTCATACCGGCAGGTCTGAAGGGTCTAATGACTGGACATTCAATGATGTAGTGTGTGTGAGGTCACGACCCAGTTGCTGCTCACAGAGAGTGCACCTGCAGTGCTCGGGAGGGGGAGATTTGTCCCCTGTAGCCACCTGTCTCAGGAAAAGGCAGCCCTCCATCCCAGGTAAAGGCAGCCCTCTGCCACAGGTAAATGCAGCCCTCTGCCACAGGTAAAGGCAGCCTTCCATCACAGGTAACGGCAGCCCTCCGCCACAGGTAAAGGCAGCCCTCCGCCACAGGTAAAGGCAGCCCTCCGCCACAGGTAACGGCAGCCCTCCGCCACAGGTAAAGGCAGCCCTCCGCCACAGGTAAAGGCAGCCCTCCGCCACAGGTAACGGCAGCCCTCCGCCACAGGTAACGGCAGCCCTCCGCCACAGGTAAAGGCAGCCCTCCGTCACAGGTAAAGGCAGCCCTCTGCCACAGGTAAATGCAGCCCTCTGCCACAGGTAAAGGCAGCCTTCCATCACAGGTAACGGCAGCCCTCCGCCACAGGTAAAGGCAGCCCTCCGCCACAGGTAAAGGCAGCCCTCCGCCACAGGTAAAGGCAGCCCTCCGCCACAGGTAACGGCAGCCCTCCGCCACAGGTAAAGGCAGCCCTCCGCCACAGGTAAAGGCAGCCCTCCGCCACAGGTAACGGCAGCCCTCCGCCACAGGTAACGGCAGCCCTCCGCCACAGGTAAAGGCAGCCCTCCGCCACAGGTAAAGGCAGCCCTCCGCCACAGGTAACGGCAGCCCTCCGCCACAGGTAAAGGCAGCCCTCCGCCACAGGTAACGGCAGCCCTCCGCCACAGGTAACGGCAGCCCTCCGCCACAGGTAAAGGCAGCCCTCCGCCACAGGTAAAGGCAGCCCTCCGCCACAGGTAAAGGCAGCCCTCCGTCACAGGTAAAGGCAGCCCTCCGTCACAGGTAAAGGCAGCCCTCCGCCACAGATAACGGCAGCCCTCCGTCACAGGTAAAGGCAGCCCTCCGTCACAGGTAAAGGCAGCCCTCCGCCACAGGTAACGGCAGCCCTCCGCCACAGGTAAAGGCAGCCCTCCGTCACAGGTAAAGGCAGCCCTCCGCCACAGATAACGGCAGCCCTCCGTCACAGGTAAAGGCAGCCCTCCGTCACAGGTAAAGGCAGCCCTCCGCCACAGGTAACGGCAGCCCTCCGCCACAGGTAAAGGCAGCCCTCCGTCACAGGTAAAGGCAGCCC